TTAATAGTGATAGTCTTTTATAAATCAAGGAAGCATAAGTCAGACTCTCGTGGCCAACCAATAAGTTATCTTGACCACTAATGAAGAACAGTATCTTATTTTAGTCCAGCATTCTTGTTTAGGGGATCAGTATTTCCTCGTTGAAAACTTTAATATTTCTTACTGAAAGTTTCTGCATGGATGCAAGCTACAGGTCTGTAAAATATCCCAGTTTTTACATGGCCACTATAGTGGCCAAGCCAACCCTTCAACTCTAAAAATCATTTCTAAATCGTTGCTTTTTATTTTAATGCTTCCTAGAGAAAGTTTTGCACACATACATTTTATAGGTCTGCAAAATTGGCCAGATTTCAGATGGCCACTATAGTGGCCAGTCAAACTCTTTAAGAATAAAATTGATTTTTCAATCGTTGCTCGTTCGAAAATTAAATACTTCAAGAAAATTTTCACATTCAGTGTACAAGTTTGTAAAATTTCCCAGTTTTCAGGTGGCCACTGTAGTGGCCAAATCTGCTCCAAAAGGTTGGGAATCGTTTCCCGGTGATCTAAAATTCGCAGGAAAGGCTCTGGAATAATATGAATAAGTGACCTGAAGATATTGGCCGCAGAGAACAGGCCCTCTGAGATGAGCATGGGGTCCCAGGTGTCCCATTGCTCCCTCTGCAGCTCGATCACGGTCCCGGCCTTCTGCCCTTCGATCTCCTTCTGCACCCTGTGATAGGCCACCACCCTAAGCGCGACCGTCGCTACGTACAACGAGTTCGTAACGAAGTCGATCACGTTCCACATGTCGTTCACGTACTCCTCGAGTCCCACGTCCCACAACTGCTTCACCTCGGACCAAATCAGACCGGACACCCAGGCGAGGATGAACCTGCGGTACAGAAGAGAGAGAGAGAGAGAGAGAGAGAGAGAGAGAGAGAAGAGCGGCGCTGGCCGAGACATCGTACGTTCGATTGGTAGAACTCGACGTTTCGTTCTCAACATCGTGAAATCGCGTCCCGCGACGCGAACGTCCTCGAGAAATGCAATTTCGATCCGAGCACGCTTCCTATACCATCATCGATTCGAGTCGAGGAGATCTCGAGCATATCACCGCGAATGGAGACATCAAGGAATCGGATGAAGTTTTCACTTTTCCGAGGACGGAACGCTCTGTTCGACTGGGACGGGCGTTTTGCAAATCGGCTTTACTCTCGTCCGACGAAGCTGATCATTAGACTGCGGATCTTTATCAGCGACGATTGTACTGCGGTATTTGATGCAAAGCGAATACTGCATTTATTGCAAGGTACAGGGGCGAACTTATTTTCGCAATAATTTCAACGAATTGGAAACAATGCGACGGTGTTTTTAAATTCTCCGCATATTTTTAATCTTTAGCGTTGGTCCAGCGATAATCGTTTACTTTAGCAAAAGCTAACTTGAAACTTTCAACTCGCTTTTATCGTGCCTTCGTAGCGACTCTCTGATTTGTCATGCTTTTTTGAATCTAATTTAATTGTTTGCTACAATTCGATAAAAACGTCTTTTTCCTTCGTTATAAAAAGAATTACATTTTCTCTCTTTAGACTGCGAATGAATTGTTAATTATATCTAGGGGATGATATTTACTGGTTCCACGGTAATTTTACATCCGTACAAAAAACTTCGCGCTAAACTGGGTTAAATCCTTCTCTAACGTGTTTACAGTTTCGACCTGCACATTTCCGTCGTAAACGCATAAAATCCACCGTCCAGAGTTAATGAGCATAGTTCGGGCATCGTTCGAATAACTTTTTATCTGGACAATTATTCGGACGAATAAGAAATTTAATAATCTCATTCCGGAATAATTTGCTTCTGCGAATGAGTCGCTGTTGCCTTGTTCGCGAATAAATTATCCGCGAACGCACACAGATCGCGCGCGAATAATTTATTCGCGGATAGTTTATCGAACCGCGAACGATTTATTTGCGAACAGTTTGCCGGCGAACGAATTGTTTGCGAACAGGTTTATCCGCGAGCGATTCGTTTGCGAACAGGTTTACCCGCGAATAATTTCATCGATACGTCGAATCGGAATCGTTGTCACTCGACAGTAACCGACCGTAATCCGCGCGAGCACAGCTACAGCTGGAAAGTCAGGGACCCTCGAGCCGACGGGAAATTCATCGACCTGCCTAATGAGGAGGAGATACTCTAAACGCGGAAACAATATTCCATTAAACATCGGCAAGCGGCAAATTGCAGGAGAATTTCGCAAGAGCGTATGAGCGGTTTTCGCCGGGCTAATTTGCCGCGGTAATCAAGCAGAAATTCGTTGAGCCCATTAAAAGTTCTATCGGGCGCAAAACAAGATAAACTCTCCATCAAACTCTATTAAACTTGCCACGGCACATCGAACTTCAGGCGGCCTACAACGCGGCGAACGCGAGCCGACCATACGTCAAAAACGCTCCGCCGTGCTGCGGCCCGGTTTATTTTTACTTATCGGCTGCTCTTCCGCGGCGGCACAATAGGAACAAAGATTTATCGGGCTCGGCGAAAGTTTCGGCGACCGACTACTTTTCAATCGTCTTCCGTCGCTCCTCGGCAAACATGTTTGCTGCCGCCCTATCGGTCTTCGCGATCGCCTCCGATCGTCTGAACCGATCCTCTGGCGCGGCTTTCCGCGGCGAATCTTTCAACATTACCTTTGCGCCGATGTGGGAAATATTCTGCGTTCGAGAAAGAATATCGATCACCGTGTCGTCGACGAGATGGGCGCAGGGCGAAGATCTCGCGGCGACTACAGTAGTGTCTCTCTAATCGACGCTCAGATTGTCCACAAAAATGTACAATTTGGGAAGAGGAGATAAGATTATTCGAGCCTCGCGGTTCGTCTTTATAGTTACGAATTGTCAACAACTATAAAAAAAGAAGGTATAAGGCTCCAATAATCCTATCTCCTGTTCCAAAATTGTCCATTTTTCTGCACAATCTGAGCGTCAGTTAGGGAGACATTACTGTAATAAGTAGACTGCGAATTTTATGCATTCATCAGAAATATCCAGTTCTACCACTTAATCCTTCCGCATTTATGTATTAGTTTTTCTTTTGCGAGCGACGGCATTTTATCCGCAGTCTGCAGCTGTGTCAGTGTCTATATTTTATTATTTTGTACTAAATCGTACGTTATCGTAAATGAAGTCCGAACGGAAGACCTTTATAAAAATGAATGCATTTGCGACAAACTGTCGACGTTTCTCAATGAATAAATTCTGAGCGTTGCTCGGAGGTCTACTCTTTTCGATCCGAAACGTTTTATACAAATAGATTTGCTACTTTCTGAGAAAAAAATTCCCAAATATTTCGTCTGATCGAGCTGTTTATTTCGATTTTTTTTGTAAAAAGAATCTGAAGTGCCAATATCTACGCTGGCATTTTATTATTATTATTATTTTGTATTGGATAGTACTAGATTGTAAATGAAGTCCGAGCGACAGTTCCGATTATTATAGTATTGTCTTACCACTCGACGATCGTGGGCGCTGCACCCCTTTTTGTCGGCGCCGGCTCATGCTCCACGACGTCGTGGCCCATCCAGTTGCCAATCACGCTCTCTATCCTTTGACTAGCTAGAATCAACATGACTGTGGACAGAACGCGTCACCGTTAGCTCTCGTCGGCAGCCGCTGCTATATCTTGCTCATTAACCGAGCTGTGTTAATAGCTATTAATATTGACTCTTTCCGAGCTCGTTTCCGAACTGATTAGCCCTGTTTTCGGCGCGAAAGATCCGTAGGAAAGCAATTAAGCGGATCGGCCGAAGCTCAGATATTTAATGCGGTGACAGTGATCGCGAAAGTATCGCAAACTCGAGAATGTTTGACAAAACTGGAGTCGAGTATAGTCACTGAGATGCATTAACATGATTCCCAATGAGAATGATCTCTAAAGGGATCCTGAAAAAATTGTGTTTAGCATTTTTTGTTCGGCTGAAAATATTGTACCAGCACTGAAAATGTTGAACTTATTTAATTACGAATTCATTTATTCACTCGCTTTTTATTCATAGTAATATGATTGAAAATAGTATTATTATTACTGTCAATACTTGTGCAGCATGTTGCGAATATCTATATAACAGAAAGATATTATATAATATCTATATAATTGATAGAGTTATTTAAATATGTGGATATACAAGTGTTTGCCAGGTTGACGAAATTTTGGGGAAATGGTAGCATCCAAATGTTTCTTGTCAACGGAATACCCCACCTTCTGTGCCAAAAGCAATTTCTGGAGAATTTTAGCTAATACATATTCGGCATAAGGGTGCAGCAGGGCAGAGAATTTATATTAAAAAATACCTAGCCGGAAACTTTAGCTTGCCAATGTGTACACGCAACGACGAATAGCGACTTTTAACTTTCGATATTAATCATGAATATTACAGAAGTTTCCAGTGACTGCAACCTATTAAAGTAATAAGAAGGTTTCATTACATTAAATTGCTGTGAATCTGAGAATTCAAATCTCGGAGAGGCCGCAATCTCTTCCAATTTTAATAAATCTTTTATTTGTCATTCTAGAACTTAAATTTTACGAATGAAACAATGTTCCACAATTATTAATTAATCTTTTATCTGAAATCTGAGAAATGAAATTTTAGAAATTAAGTCTCCCAATTTTATTGAATCATTCATTTAACGTTTAAGATTTTCAATTTCGAAAATGAAATGTTTCGCAATTTCGACTTTTGACCTTCAACCACCAATTTGAGAATTTAGAGTAGTAAAATTGAAACAATGTTTCACAGTTTCGACCGGTTCGAACGAATTCTCTAACAAACGCACTGACCATTTTGCGAATGCGCCCCCAATTTGTCTCAGAAAACTCGAAGAGACCGAGAGAGTGCGAAATGACAGGAGACCGAAACGAAGAAGCACGGAGCTTCTCAAGCTGACGATAGTGTCCGTTACTGTTCGCCAAAGTGCATCAGGCAGAATGCGCCTCGCGCTGCATGTTGATATACGCTGTTCCGTTTCAGTGACCTCGAAAGGTAGTTTCCCGGAGGCATCGAACTGCGCAACCCCTCGCGAGACACGTTCTTCGCCGCAACTTCTTCGCTATTTTTCTCGCGCGACATCTGTCACGATCTTTGACTTTCAAAGCACCAATGGAATCCGAATAAATCCAATTAAGCTTCCACGCCGACTATGACCGTCAGGAACCGTGCAACTTCCAAAGCAGCTGTCGCGAGGGGATAATAATTCTCGAATGTGGCCGAACTTTCTTCCATTTCTTTTTCGGTCTTGTGCTCAGTATTCAACTTTGATGTTCGACAGACGCAGTTCTTGCTGCCTGGCCTTTTTCTTCGGACAGTTTCATGGATCAAGATACGAATGTTAACACCTCTTTTCACGTCTTCTTATCCGTTTTCTACATTTTAGGAAAGATTCGATAATTCGTCTGTTTTATTTAGTAATTTTATTACTCGCTAAATCAGGTATTATTTTTGTTATTCTTCTGTATTTCTTAGTCTTCTGATTACACGTGAATGTTTTCTGAAACATTCGTTTGTTTTCTATATTCTGGGATAAAGTGAATTTTTTAGTTAATCTATTTCTGATTTTGTTACTTCTCCGCGGTGTTTTCGACATTGATCTGTCTTCTATGATCTCGAAAATAAGATTATTACAATTAAATTGAATCAATTGAATTAACGTTAAATTAGAGTTAAACAGGAAAATTTCGGTTTAGTAAATGCGTTTCCGTTTTTGTTACTTTTTTGTACGATGATTTTAGACGAATTTCTTTGAGAAAATTGATTTGTCTGCTACGTTTTTGTAAAAATTCACTAACAATTTTTATTAGAATTAGCCAATTATATATCGCATCATCCATTCTAAAACGTCTTTTTTTGTAAATATTGTTCCGACTCTCCGGTTTTGTAAAATTCTACGTTAATGTTGCTTCTCTCGGTTGGCAGAATGTTCGTAGGTGAAAATAACATTCTCGCGCGCGACTATTCCGTTCATGCGACCCGCTATGTACGTTCAAAAATTCCGAAGTATAATTTTTCTGCACGAGAATATCCCAAAAATTCTTCCCTCTCAATTGTTGCCTCTGTTCACGATACTTCTTCAACGTCTAAAATTTCCTTGGTCTAAAAAAGGCACCTTTGTAATTGCGTTCTCCCTGTTCAACGAACCGGTGTCCGAATCAAAAGATGTCCGTCTAAAATTGTTCAGCACGAGTCCGTGCAGCGGTTTCCTTTGTCGATTCGTCCAAAATGTTGCCGGCTCCGTTTCGTCGTTCGACCGGAACACAAAAAACGTTGGTGGCCGGGGAAAAGCGGTATTGAGAGCGTCGACGGAACAAGGCGGGCCTGCCCCAACAGATGAACGATACACAGAAAAAAATCCGCGTTTACATTCCATGCCGCATTTCGCCGGCAAGTTTATCGGATTCGCCCGACCTCGTTTCCCGCGACGTATTTTACCTTTCGGCACGTCGGCGAGTCAAACATCGCGGGCCCGGCTCTAAACAGTTTACAAATACCTCTCAGTGGTGGCGGGGTTTACGAATACCTTTCTCTCGCCACCAATAATAGCTGGCCGCGGTAATGCTCTAAATTTGAGTCATCAGCCGGCATTACCGGCGCGGCGGGACGATAAACATGTCAGACAAGGCCCAAGCGGAAACGTCCTCCGGAACACCGGTACCCTTTATCGGTCTGGCCGATGGAATCCCGTGATCGGAATTCCCCCGGCTTCCCGGATGCGTCCCGCGATCCCTATTACATCCTATCGTTGCACTTTTTCATTTTTTATCGTCTCGATTCGACGACCGTTTACACGAACGCCGAGGGACAGTCCCAGCGGTGCTTGAACGACTTTGAAGAATTATCCGCCGCCCGAACATCCGTTCTTGCTCGAGTCTGTGATCACGAAACTATGTTCTAAAAGCTTCCAGCTGATACATATGAGCCGTTTATCTTGAAAGTGGCATAAGTCGCTTTACCGTAATGAAAAGTGGTGATTTTGTAATGTTTATACTGAGAAAAATATCAGTATCCTGAGATAACAAATACAAGTAAATCTTCTCGAAAGTTAGCATCCATATTTTTAAACGTGTTAAAACGCAAACCCTTAAATATATCGACTTAAAACAAAGTGACTTATGCCACTTTCAAAATAAATGGCTCATATATTCGGATAGAATTGACGAATTATACCTGCTCGTAGTAAACTATAAAAATAAAGGATCCATTTTATTCTTTTATAATTTCTTAGTTTTACTTTATTCTTCCATTGTTTTAGTTTCATTACGTTTTTTATTTGCCGAGCGCACCGATTGAAACAATATCGAAATAGAAACAATAAAATTAAAATTACATGCTTCGCTATAATATGCGTTTTTAATTTAATAACGCGTATATTTGTTAAAAGATCAAATTTTACTCAAACGTTAACGATGTGTAAAGTTTCCCTGTGTACATATCCTTCATCGGAAAAATTGAAAGAGACTCGCTTGAAAGTACAGTCTTTTAGTTAAAAAAGGTTTCGTCCTGAAAAATTTGCTAGTTTCTGCACGGCAAATTCGCGAACATAGCACTCGTTCCACTTTTTCATCGGCAATAGATTTTTACGAGACTTTTCTCAAAAACGGACCTCCGGAAAAATCGCTGTACCTTCGACGCCCGTTGACGTTTCTCATTGATAAAATTCCGAGTGTTACTCAAAGATCTACCCTTTCCGATGAAAAAAGTCTCATCCAAAAGTCTTCGTTACTTTTTCCGAAAATAATTCCCAAAGTATCCGTTCATCTTACCACATGATCGATAAATTACACAGCTTCGGACTTTTCCAAAAAAGGATCTTTATAAATACGAATATATTTTTTAGGAGTATTAACGTTTTTCAATGAGAAAAAATTCTGAGTACTACTAGAAGATTCGCTCTTTCAGCCACGAAAAGTCTCGTCGCAAAGGCTACGGTAGTTCCCGAAAAGAAAATTCCCAGAGACGACGTTTATTAGTCTCCGAAGCAACACCGACAGCGGCTCTGTAGTCGCTCGAAAACTGTCTCGCGCGAGCATCTCTGAAAGGAAGAGGCAGCGAAACCCCCGCGGCTCACGACATTCTCGAAAAGCGTAATTGACCCGGAAGTTAGACTAACGATATTTTGAGGCAGCGAGTTACGCGACTCGCGGAGGTAATGCGCTCCTCGAGGACGCGCAGAATTTCAGGAGATTATTCGGGAACAAGCCTGGTTAATCCCGGAGGCTCTGGAACGCGGCCGCGCGCTCGTGTAGACGTCGGGAACCACGTTTTACGGCAGCGATCGTCGACCTTGCCATGATTTGACGGCGCTAATCTGCCTGGAGATTGCCCAAAAACCATTCCTGCGGTCCGCGGGAGCCCTAGATCTAGAGATTTTCCGAAACCGCGTCGAGACCTGCTCGCGCATGCATTATATTCTTTGCTCTGCCGTTCGTTCTGGACATCTGTCGTTATGCGATCTACATAATCGTGTAATGGAACACCGAGCACGGATGCCTGGCGATTTTAATCCAGCGGATTCTGTGTTCGCGCGTCCTCGCGCTGGCCGGTACAATTGCGGCGGATCAAAATCTGCGGAAAGATTTCCGTCTTCGTCGCTGAACATCTCGCATGTTTGATTTTTTTAATTGCTGAGATTATGAACATTTCCTTTCGTAGAAAATGATTGGATAAACTTCTTAATTCAAGCGCACCCTATGATAAAAATAACGAGGGGTCTTAATGAGGTTCAGTTTACTTATTTTTATGAAGCTCGTCTCGCGCTCACTTTCAGATCTCGGCAGATTTAGCGTTAATGGGCGAAGAAGATTTTATGGCGCGGAAAAATATTTATCTTCGGTGGTGAATGTTTTAAACACCTTTTCGCGGTGCAATATATTCGTAGGATGTTTTAAAAACACTTTTATACAGCCCATGATATTTGCACGATTTTCTGAACAATTTTTCTTTGAAGTGCATGCAATTTGTGCAATGTTCCAAACACTTTTTTGTATTGCATCATATTTGTACGATGTTTTAAACAATTTTCTGCGGAGCATTATAATTCGTACAACGTTTTAAACAGTTTTCTATGGCTCATGGCATTTGTACAATGTTTTCAACACTTTCTTGCAGTGCATACAACATTTTACAATGTTTTAAACTCTTTTCTGTATTATATTGGTACAATGTTTTAAACACTTGAACGAAGTCCATGACGTTTGTACAAATTTTTTAGGACCTTTTGTACTACATTTTCTACTACAATATTTTAAACGTCTTTATCTAAGTTCATGATAGTTGAAAATACAGTAGATACAGTAATGTCTCCCTAACTGACGCTCAGATTGTGCAGAAAAATGGACAATTTGAGAAGAGGAGATACGATTGTTCGAGCTCTTGCAGCTCGTTTTTATAGTTGTTGACAATTCGTGACTATAAATATGAACCGCAAGGATCGAATAATCGTATCTCCTCTCCCTAAATTGTCCATTTTTGTGGACAATCTGAGCGTCAATTAGAGAGACACATTACTGTAGTTAGAAATATTAAGTCTACCGGAAAGTTCTGTCTGTTTTTGAATTGAAATATAACACAATTTTCATACATTTAATAATATTTATTGTAGAATATATTTTCCATCGTTACTTATGACTTCTTGCCAGCGTGATGGCAACTTGTAAATGCCATTTTTAAAAAATGATTCATTTTTAGAAGCGAAGAACTCAACCAGTGTTTGGTTGACGTCAGCTTCAGTTTTGAATTTTTTTTCCTGTAAAAAGTTTTGCAAAGAGAGAAACAAGTGATAATCGGAGGGTGCTAGGTCTGGGGAGCATGGTGGATGCGACAGAATTTCCCAGCCTAGCTCTGCGATTTTCTGACGAGTCGCCAAAGCAGCATGTGGTCTGGCATCATCATCGGTGGCCATGTTTTCACGATCGTGTCTCACTCAATAATGACACGAGACATCTTTGTTTCAGTTTATTTAAGAGAGTACATGTGTGTAAATGCAATGATAAAGAGAGATTGTCATATACGTCTCGAATCAACATGTGCATATGGATTGAAACTTGAAGTGACACCATCGGACAGAACTTTCCGGTAGACCTAATACAGTGAACTCTCCCTAATCGACGCTAAGATTGTACACAAAAGTGGACAATTTGAGGAAAGGAGATGTTGTCGACAATCGGTAACTGTAAAAACGAGCCGCAAGGCTCGAACGATTGTACCTCCCCTTCCCGAATTGTCAATTAGGGAGAATCTACTGCAGAGATATTAGAGAAAGAAACGAATGAAGAGACGGTGGTATTCGAGGTCGGATACTCACAGAGAAAAGTGAAGTAGGATGCCGAGTGACAGATGAACTTGATGAACGGTTTCCTCATGGTCTGGCCGACGACGCTGTGCGGCGCGATGATGTACGCCGCGCTGTAGAACGGGAAAAGGACACCGATCCTGACGATATCCACCGCCTGGAGGACCATGTTTTTCCGGCGGAAACCGGGCAGGCCCTCGTACCAAATCGATGCGAGGAGCTGCTGCACGTTAGGATGTGCCACGAACTGGAAATTCCCGGGTAATCTAATATCGGTCGACAGTTTCCGGTCATGTCGCCGGGAAATTCGACTTATTACACGGGTCTAATCCCGGAGAGTTTCGGACCGGTCGCGGGGCGATACCTTCAAGGTTGGCTAACGCGATTACGGCGATGCCATCTCTCGACTTTGCTGCAGCAGAGGAGAGCCTCGCGATTCCATTGGGAACGATGCGATTGAACTTTCGGAAGCGAGTTTACGCGAGCGAAATCAAATATTTACGAGGGATGGCCGGGACCGGAAGCCTGTATTTCTGCGAAGATTGACAAGCATTTAGGCGATAAGCAACGAAATGCTTGGGCATGGATGGAAAGAACACCGCGCTTTGTGAGATTGGATGCAGGTCTTCTTCTCGCTTTCTTTTTTAGCGGAGATTCTCTTGGTGGCCGTTCTTTGAAACGGTTTATTTCTGGAACTTTCTCATGCTTGTACTTTTTATGGAAGATTGGGCTCGACGATTGACAGGACTTTTCGGGGGATGTTTGTGAGGATGCATTTTTTTTTTAGATGCGATGGAGGGAGGTTTATCCTTTTCGTGCTATTCGAATTATTGTAAATGTATTACATAAAATAATAACAATTACTAAATTGTATCGTAGATTGTAAAGAGAAGAAGAAATGAAACTGAAAATGAAAAAAGGTAAAAGAATTTTTAGAAACATCGTCGCCTCTCAATTTAATAAAATTCTCTACAATTTCGAGTTAATTTATTCGGCGAAAATCAACGGTACGAATGATGAAATTCTTTTTAACTTCGTCTCTTATAAACTGCACACGATAAACAGCGAAAAGGTGAAATTAAAGATATGAAAAGTGATAGTATTTTAAAAAAATGTGTGTCACCTTTTAACACAGTAAAATATATATATATACCCCACAATTTCGGGTCAATTTATTCCCTGGAACTTAGTTCCACGAAAAATATAATTCTTTCTAATTTCACCTTTATCTAAATATTCCCACGAAAATGGTGTAATACTTGCATCTCGTTTACTCGGCGGGAAACGTAAAAATAGTCGGATTGTAAATAAAGGGCGCGAGAGCAAGCGGGTGCAGAAATTGTGCGAAAAAAGGAAAATGAGTCGTATTACAAGGATCGTGCAAAAGTAAATCAAATGTGTCAAAGGATTCGGCGAAAGTAAATAAAACATGTCGAAAAATCGTGTGGGGGATAAATCAAAGGTGTCAAAGAAACGTGAGAAGGTAAACAAAACGTGTCGGGAAATCGTGGAGAAGGTAAACAAAAGTTGTCGAAAACTTCGTTGAAATTCGATGGTACCAATTGAAGCATCGTCAATAATATATAAATACGAATAATATATAAAAATAAACATTTCTGACTCACCTTCTTCTGCCGAAACTTGATGGCGAGCTTCAGCCGGTTCAGGTGCATCCTTTCGCCGTGTTCGAACGCGGGTCCGGTTGGATCATGATTCAGAAGGATCTCCAGCTCCTTGGAGCTTCTGGTGTGATCTAGCAAGGCAGTAGCGAAATCCTGGCACTGTCTCCTAAGCTCCTGCAAACAGGACCCGTCGTCGTATCGAGGAATCAGTCGCTTGCAAATAGTGTCTCGTCGCTCAGCGACAACGCGAAGTCGATGCAAGGGATATTCCAAAGTGTCGTAACTTTGCGAAAAAAAATTGCAGCCGGATTCCTGTTCCCCTTAAATTAAAGGGGAAGAAACAAACTACGTTCAGCTGCAAAGGGCATCTGCGAACGAAATTTTACAAAGTCCGCGCAATTATTCGTCGAACTTGGCGATTTTCAATGCGATAAACATGGCGTCATATTTAAAGGGTTACGATAGCGAATGTGCGTCAAATTTCAAAACGGAAAACGGCGTCTTAAAGTAGAGGTTTCAAGCTTTAATTTGAAAGAAAAGTCACCATCCTGCGATGATTCTTCGCGGAGTTATCGTCAATCAAATGTGACCACTTTTTTCTATCTTATAAACTTTTTCAGCAGCGTACTTTACTGTATTTGAATCGCTTTATGCGATGAGTTTCGAAACTTCTATACTCGAGGAGAGCAGCTGCGATAGTGTCTCGATACTTCCCGTTGTAACACAGGTAAGTTACCCGTGTCGTTCCCTCGGGTCCGATCCAAGTTACCGTCCCTGTTGCTCGACCGATTTCCGAAACTTCTTTCTCCTCGATCCGGAAAACGCGTCATCTTATTTTGCCACGGGTCTCGAACAGTTCGGCGAATTGGTCGATCGAACATAAACGACGCAACGGAAGAGAAAAAATGGAGATCCCGGGAAAATTGTATCTTGGATGCGAACACGCGATGATTTATTCCCCTTTGGTGCTGGCCGATCACCTGGAAGGTTTACGATCCTGGCCATTTGTTGCCTTGGGATTTATTGGATCGAAGGTTCGTAGGGAATTGCAGGGCTTCGAGGGCCCTTCCGAATTTCTTGGCCCTTTATCGAAAGCGTTTTTACAAATATATGTGGAAATTTAACTAAATCGCCCGTTAAACGATATCCGAAGTTCCATTAACGCGAGCCTATTTTGGAGAAATCTGATCTAAATGACGGCATTTCCTTTTTAAAAATATGAATAAATAATAATGGGTGAAAGACAATGAATAAATCCTGTTTTTGGTGTTAACCAGCGAGATTAATACACCGCGAATTGTATGCATCCATGACATAAATGACTAGGTGGAATAAAAACTTTGTAAAGACTTTGAAAGAATTTAAGGATACTATTATATTATTTTTGATTATTAAATAAATTCGGTATCAAATTATTAAATTTTTAACTCGTGTTTCCTATGGTTGACATAAGAAACATTCTTTTTTTCACAGAGATCATTTTTTCATAGAAATTAGAGATTTTTTTCATAGAAATTAAACTCTCTATCTCCACAACTTTGAACATTTTTTGTTCGTTAACTATAAAAAGCATGCGAATGATTCTTGCACGAGACGATTCCGCAGACTCTCCCGGATGCTACGGTGTGTTTTTAATAGCCTTCGCGATACGTTCCGACAAGTTTGTTAAATTTTTGAAGTGAACACTGTCGTTGCAGTGATTTTCTCGGATATTTTTCGATTTACCTTGAAAAATTGAAGTTTGCAGGACAGGAATTTTACGAACTATATTTTAATTTGTCTAAGAGACGTGTTTCAGCCTTTATTGTATTAACATGGGGACCATTGAGGACGTGCAACGGAATGCTGGCGAGTCAACGAGGAACCGCATTGAATTCTATTCCAATATTTCCGGAGACGTGCGCCCAACAAAATGTCGGTTTTATGAAGACGTCAGATCGTCGTTCCGGAAAAACAGGGACGAAGCCAGGGGTGGTTTTTTCCCCGTTAAAAGTAGAAGACGGACGACGTTCAGCCTCCTGTAATCTATTCTCGTTAATCGTTTACCGATCCCCCGACAGGCTTAATCAATTTGCTATCGGGGATGATTTATTTTACCTAACCCAGACATCGTGTTCAACCGATTTGATCTTCGATGTCATAGTTGCCTGATGGTCGAAACTTCCTCCAAACTCTCTCTCTCTCTCTTCCTCTCTCTATCTCTCTATCTTCCTCTCTCTCTCTCTCTCTTCCTCTCTCTATCTCTCTATCTTCCTCTCTCTCTCTCTTTCTCTCTCTGTCTCTGTATCTCTCTCTTCCTCTCTCCATCTCCCTTTATCTCTTTCTACCTCTCTCCATCTCTCTCTCTCTCTCTCTCTCTCTCTCTCTATATATATATATATATATATATATATATATATATATATATCTTCCTCTCTCCAGCTCTCTCTATTTCTCTCTTCTTTTCTCTTCCTCTCTCCGTCTCCCTCAATTTCTCTCTTCCTCTCTCCATCTCTCTCTGTCTCTCTCTTCCTGTATCTATCTTTCTCTATCACTCTCGTCCTCTCTCTCTTCCTCTCCCTTTCCCTCCCCATCCTTTTCTCCTCCTTCTCCCTCCTTTGTTGATCAATTCGTGTACAGAGCGAGGATAAAGTGGGACGATTTTCTAGAAGAGCCGGCCTGAATGAGAATCGAGGATCATCGCGATCCTTGTCCGTCTTCGTAGCTCCACGATGACGAGTGGAATTTTAAAGGCTCCCTCGATTGGGATCCCGCTCCCTTTAATTTCTGTGCGGAGCCACGATCGATGATTTTCTGCTCCGAGAGCGACTCTGAAAGGATTACCCGCCGGTCGAGGGATCGAGAACCGGCTGCAGCCTCGGCCATTGTTTATCCCCGAGGAGAAAGGAAATCGAGAATACCAGTTATTTGCAATTTTCTGTGAGAATTCGTTGGGAGACGATCGATGGGCTGAGCGATGCCTTTCGAAGCAAGTGGACTTCTTTGTAATACGGGCGATAAATCGAGAGAGAGAGAGAGAGAGAGAGAGGTTTTCAAGCTCGAGATCAAATACAAATATTAACCTTTAAGGGAGCCATTTTTCCATCAGCAACTTTCACCGCGGGACTCTTGGGGATTTAGCATTATACTCTGACACAGAGAAAATTGGAAATGTTTGCGAGTTTATTTACCTTCGGTCGTTTTGTCGACTCGTTTTTTCGGAAGGAAATGAAAACGGAATTGCTGGAAAATGTACTGCACTCGAAAATGGTCATTGAAATGATTCTCCTATGGTTTTTCTTATTATTGAATTCGATCAATTGCGGATCATTAATAAAGTAGGAGAATGCTAACGGATTTATCGTGAAAGATTTGTAAGATTTTTAAACATTTTGCGAGCAGAACAATTATTCTATTTTTCAATCAATTTCGCCAAAAAGACTCGAAAAAATGCCTGTATCTTTGAAAACTCTTGAACAGGGTCTGCGATACAAAATAAAGAGATTCTCACTTTCTCTCGAGCATCGTTTCAGAGCATTCTGAAAAAATGAAGATTAAAGTTTCCAGAAAGAATGAAGATTAAAATTTCGAGAAAAAGGGTAAAATTTCCAGAAGAAATACAAATTTCCAGAGAACATAAAGAGTACAATTTCATGAAGAAATGAAGATTAACATTTCAAGGAAAGATGAAGTATTTAAAAAAAGATGAAGATCAATGTTTAGAAAATTGAAGATTAATATTTCACAAAAATGAAGATTAAAAACACATAAAAAATGGGATGCGGTGTCCGCAGAAAAAGCAGCTCGCCGAGACCGATATCTCGTGGATTTCGAATCGGCTTATTTCTCACGGACGACTTTGTTGACGCAAGGCGTCGCGTTTTCCCGTGGCGCGAACGCGCCCGTTGTTAATCCCGCGTAAACACCGGGGAACACGTGGCGCGGGATCGAGAAAACGTCTCTCGAAATACCCGGGAACGATTGTCTTGAACAGACCGGGGCGGGACGGGGTCCGTCGAACGCGAACAGAGAAAGACACGCTGTGCCCGGCGCGGCGGTTTCACGGTCGCCGCGATATTTAACGTCTCGTTATGCTTTGGTGTGATCGCGAAGTACCGCGGCCACTCGGTGATATTAGGAAAACATCCCGGTCGTTACGTGTATCGCTTTGATGTAGTAAATATTTGATTTGGCACCCGGCGCGCGGCCGTGCGAGCCACGGCCTCGTTCTCATCCGTCAAGCGGCCCCTTTCGCACCTGAAAATCGACCCGGCCCGTTTCCGCCGATATGGAAATCAGTGGGTTTCGATCTTTGATAAGATTTAGGGCGTTCGATATTTTTTCGTTCTTCGAAATACAGTAATGTCTCTCTAATTGACGCTCAGATTGTCCACAAAAATGGACAATTTTGGAAGAGGAGATACGATTGTTCGAGACTTGCGGCTCGTTTTTTATGGTTATCGATTGTCAACTGCTATAAAAACGAGCTGCAAGGCTCTAATAATCGTGTCTCCTCTTCCCAAATTGTCCATTTTTGTGGACAATCTGAGCGTCAATTAGAGAGCTGTCTCTTATACACATCTAGATGTGTATAAGAGACAGTCGTATCTCCTCTTCCAAAATTGTCCATTTTTCTGCACAATCTGTGCGTCAATTAGGGAGACGTTACTGTATCTTGTGATGGTCGCTGCTCTCCGCACAGTGTGGAGAAGAAAAAAAATAGATATTGATATGCACCCTTGTCACACCTCTTGAGTTTTTTGTACAGTTCCTTGGTAAGACCATATCGCAGTTTTTTTTAGTGCATTTATGTGTTAGATGCTTTAGGTTTCCAGCAAAATTGTCTTTAATGTTACTGCAACAATTTCTTATGCAGAATGAACATTTTCTATAAGGAACAGAAAGTGTTAATTCCTTTCAGTTTCAGAGAAAATTGTCTTTATTGTTACAAAGTTTACAAAATATTGTATTGCAACATTTTTCGACACACTGATTTTGAAAGCAATGATTATTTTTTTATTTGTACTAGTCATAGTTGCTCCGTGTTGCAAATGAAATTGTTTTTAATATCGCTGCAACAATTTATGGTACACGATAAACAATTTCTATAAAGAATAAAAGGTATTAGATCGTATCAGTTTTAAGGAAAATTCTCTTTGATATCGCTGCAACAATTTTTCATGCACAACGTGTATTCTCCAGAAAGAAAGCACATATCACTGCTCTTCAATTTCAAGCAAAATCGATACACGATTAACATTCTGACATCATTGGCTCTGAGTTTCAAGCAAAATTGTCTGTCATAGTAATTGCAACAATCTCTCGAGCAGAACGAACATTTTCAATAAAGAAAGTAGACCATCGACGTACGATACTCGAGTAGAAAGGGAACAAAGATTGATTATCCGTGGAGAGGATGTTTCAAGTAAACGATCAGTCATCGAGGCAATCAATTTTATTGAGAAAAATGAAGTTTCGCGGGAAATCTCCTTAACAGTATTACCAAAGTTGGTTACCGCGAACTCTTCCAAAGAAAGTAACATCGAACTAGAATTTCTTCAGGGTACATTAGGTTCGCATTGGAATCTTCGGACAAGCTGCACCCCAAAATTTTAATAAAACAGTCTCTGGCATATCGATTTTCACGAGAGAAAAGGAATATAGGAGAAAAGAGAGCTTCGGACAAGAGACACGCACGGTCGATTGCAGAAATCATAAGTCTAGACAGTCGAACGCAGACGGCCGAGTCGATGGTACTTTAAATAACGAATAAAAGGAGCACCCGAAACTCCTCAGTTGCGCACGGTGACCGATTTTTCAAAGCTCCGCGAGGTTCCTGCAGGATGTCTGGAAAGTATCCGAGTGGCAAGAAGAATGCGTCTTTCTCCGGCGAGAGCGCAAAATAAATCACGAATACGTTTGCAAAGACGGAAGAAAAGCCTACGCCGTTTTTATGGCTCGTTCTTCCGGGGTTTCTCAAAGACGCGACTCGTCTCTCTCTCTCTCCTCTCTCTCACTCTCTTTCTCTGTCGGTCTTTCCATTTTTCTTTTATACTTTTAATACCTCCGAGAAACGTTGCGTCGCGGAAAACGCTCCGGCTTTTCCCGGTGAATCATCGCGATACGTTTCCAATGCGGCTCGCAGGAAACTGAATTCTTTTTCTACTTGAACCGCGAAACCGTCTTCGATTCTTTGTCATGAGGAAACGAACTTTTGTGCCCGAGGGCAGGAAACGAATATGCAATATAACATCTTTATCATTGCTTATAAAAATGATTCACTGCCGGAAGAAGTTGACGAGAGAGAGAGCGAGAGGAAAAATGTCTCTACGAGGATTTCTCTGCGAGATAAAAATGATTTGCATCGATCTCGAGGAACGGAAATTCAAGAGAAATATATTTCTCGTTTGGATGCGATTCCAATTGTTCCAATTCCGATCGTTCTTCTCCGAACTCGAAATCTCCGCAAAAACATTTCTTCCTCATGTTACTTCGGGCGACGTATAAGAACGCACGAGCGACGCTAGTTTTTGTACACGGCATCGAACTCAGCTGATCGAGCTCGATGCTAGATCAAGTAAACAATCGGCAAGAATATACACAAAACGATCGCACGTTTATAACGAAGACATTTGAAAAATATAAAAATACCGTTGCGCTATTTTCATCCAATCGAACTTATTAAACAACGAAATCAGTATCTACGTAGCTACTATATTTTATAGTTAATGCTGACAATTTTTAATTCTCCTAAAAATCTGCGTTTAAAAGAGACTAAGAAGACATACGTGCATCGGTAATTATTATTAAGAACCACATCGTTCATACTAAAAAAAAAATATTGTTCATACTTGAAACACGAAAAAACATTCTTGAAATCGTTCAAAATTATCTTTCACAAGAATCTAACATATTGCGAGGCTACAAAAAGATCAAAGACAAAGATTAAAATCGAGAAAGAATAGAATAAAAACATAATTAATTATTTCCTCCGTCCTACGTAATTACAGTGACTATTCATTTAATGAATAATGAATATTTAATGAATATTCATTCTGTCTGTTTGGTCGTTCCATGAAAGATCGTGTTGACAAAACGGCGAAGTAAAATAGGAAGCGAAATTATTTATCAGATCCGCGAATAAAAGGAACGAAAGAATGCGAACGAAAGCGAATGAATAATTGAAAATTTCGTTACCACGGTGCCTGCGAACATCTCCGCTCTACGGAATCCGCCGCCATTTTCGAGGATCTACAGTGGATCACGGAAAAAGCAATCGGACCGAGAGAAAAGTAGGACGAGCACCGGGGAACGGAGACTTCGAAGTTCAGGGGTTGTTTTATATTTTCCTCCGACGGGTTCGCGGACACTTTTTCGGACCGAGATCACGTTCCTCCGAGCAAATTGAATTTCGCGGTATGTTTCTCGGCATCACCCGGGATTACTTCCGGCAGAGTTATCGTTACCCACCGGAACGTGGGCTTGGATCCATCCGAAATTCGAGATACTACCCTAATTGACCGAAGATGTTCTCAGTCGCTCAAACCAGCTCGCGCGTCGAACACACGATTTCTTCGTTGAACTCTTCGGAACTGCAGAATTTTGTCCGCAATCGAATCTACCGCGAACTTCAAGATTGAAGCTTGCCCTTGGGAGTAAGACCTCGAATATCGATGTACGATTTTTTTCTGCTGTTTCGTCGAGGTTTGAACGAAAAGCGTGCCATCGTTTTCGAAATAGTGTAAAGTACATCGTGACTGAACTTGTACCTCGTTTTAGCGTTACGAAACGGTACGAAAAAATCGTAGAGCAAATTTATTGGGCTCGTTGGAAAAAGGAAGCTTCAATCTTGAAATCCGTGGTTTGTTTAGTCACGAAACAAAATTTGTTAATATTTTTACAAGCGTTTTAAGATCGAGTATTTGGAAGATGTATGTCTTCAGTTTCTCACTTGCTATCGTGCAAAATTATGCGATGCAAAATATTTTCGGTGCAAACTGAATTATGGTATGCGAAAGTAGCGGCTTCAAGGTTTAAAATGAGACCCGTTGTATCGTCGCGCGATTTTTCTTAACGAAGTTATTGTCGTTTAAATATCGAGGTGACTGCCTCCTTTTGTCATTGCAAGCAATTACCATTTTTGAAAGAATTTTTGTAGACATTGCTTGGTTGTTCGGAAGTCATCTCGTCCACTTTTTAAAATGTCACCCTACTTCGGTAATCGCGAAGTTCGTATGCGAGCAACGATCGCAGAGGATAGGTCAATAATTTTTTGGATTTTTGCCAGACAGCGTCTGACGAGGTAAGACAGAAAATAGGGGAGTTTAGGCGAGCATGTCACGATAATATATTCCTGTATAAATCAGAAGTTATGCTGGACCGTCGACCAGGTGAACAGCCGGAATCTGATCGTCGGAGGTGAAACTTAATATTCGAAACGGTTTCTTCGAGGAAATGAACTTCCCAACTGGAATAACGGAAGAGTTGTGTCTCTCGAAATATTTATGGAGCCGGTGGCTCGGCCAGAAACTTTTCTCGCCTTGTTTAAACAGTTTCAAGGAGGAGCGTCGCTCCGTTTAATTAAACCTTATCAAACTATGGGTTTTTCTCCGGCTCGTTGCGATAACTTTTCGCCATCCTGCCGCACGCTCACCTGTTCATAATTATTTTTCAGACGGAACGACGCTGATGGAACGGGAAGAAGAGCGATAAGGCTCTTTAGTAGATCTTCATGCATTTATAGCGCATAAAATGCAAAGTGTAATGAAATTTCGTTCGGTTTCGTTTTATCCACGATTCACAGAGGCAGATAAAATTTTATGAGAGTACGGCTTCGCACAATAACCGTATAACAATGCTCGCGTGCGCCGCCGCAGTGTGTGAAATAGAACTCTTAAACTCGGATCGCATGAATTGTACCCTTACTTAGGGTTCGTCCATTTTTAATGACTCAATGAACGGTTTTGTTGAGCTCATTTGAAAAATTCGGAAAACACCTATTATACTCGACAAGCCCGCTTCTGAAATATTCACTCTTGAAGAAAGTCGCTGAATGAGATGAAATATAATTCGTATTTAATCACTCCAGTTCCTTATTATATTTTTATTATTTTATATTTATATTTTATTTTATATATTTATTATTTTATTATATATCTTTTCTTATTAAATATTGTTTTATATATTTTATATATTTTACTTTATATCTTGCTCCTCCTACAAAAATTCTAAGACCAATTTTTCTGCATAAACTCTAGTACTTTCAAAAACAATTAAAACAAGAAATGGTTTGCTTTTGCTAGGCTACATATAGTTTTCTTACAATAAAAAAATTCTAGACTGCATAGAAATATTTTCTTAACGACATTCGCCTCTTGCTATAAGAATTCCGAAATCATTTTTCGCGTAAACTCTAGTGCTGCCGGAAACAATGGAGATAAGAGACGGTGTATTTTTGGTGGCTGCACGGTACTAGTTTTTTTTCTGGTACAGAAAAGGCTGGGTTCAGACAAAGAGTTTTCTTTCCAACTCACCTGGTACTCGCATTTGAACTCGTGCTCGAGGAACGAAAGCCTTCGAAGTTCCCAGGACAGTTCAAAGGCAGTCAGAATGGGGTCCTTTGAGGAGAGGGCGATCAAGGACGGCGAAGCCAGCGCCCTGTAGGCGTTGATCCGGCTTCTGGAATGCTTCAGGGAATCGTCCTTTCGGGACGTCACGCATTCGTCGCACCTGTCAATGCCAGAAACAAAAATAAACTTCGGGACAGTCGCCACTTTCCTTCCAATAACTTCGCGTCAAAGTTATCGGACACTCCTCTCTCTCTCTCTCTCTCTCTCTCTCTCTCTCTCTCGCTTTGTTCTATTTTAACTCACCAAATTCCACGACATTCCATATTTCATATTTCACGTTTCGTACCTATTTTATACTTCACCATTTTATACTTCGTATTTATATACTTTCAACTTTATTTTATATTTTATTCCATGTTTTATGTTTCACATCCTGTGCCTAACTTTATATTTTACACTCTACGTTTTATTTATTTTAGGTTTTGTTGCTTCAGTTTTATAGAAGCTCGTTTATGTCGCTAATTCATTAATTATTAGACCGTGAAGCATTTCACAAGTCCTTATTTTCGTAGGTTACCTTGTCAAGATTTAAACAAGAGGAAAATTTATTTCGTGGTAGAGTAATATATTATTAAAAACAGAAATAAAATGGATGTAATATAATAGGGGTTGTTGATAAGAGATTGCATTATTACCACAACAATGATTTAGCAATTATATGTTCTATCCAGAATTACTTGGAACATATTTATATGACTTAGTATAGTTTGGATTAATTTTAATAAAGACTATTATTTAAAGATCGTCAATGATGACTATTTATGAAGATTCTTTAATGGAGACTATTTTCCCTTTTACGCCGCGTGTTCCGTTGATTTCTGCCAGCTCTGCGTTGCTTGATAAGGAATGATCATAATAATAATGAACAATCCAATCTCGTCGCCTGGTATAGGTTTATCGCATGCGACAAATCCTATAATTTAATTCGCGGGGTGAAATTTCACCGTGATAGGGTAGCTCGCAGTGCATCTACCCCGACTTAATTAGTTTACGCGGGGTATGCTCGAAGATTGCAAGGGCAAGGTGCTAAACCAGGTCGAGGGAATTAATCGGACTGAAATGGTATATCTAACGAGCGATTGTAGCCCACCACGCCTACGCTTCCCCTGCTTTATTTATAGCTATAATTCCGTCGTTCGTAAAATACGTAGTTAAAAGTCCAAAATTTATCTGCCTGTCCCCGTAGCTGCGCAGGGGGAAAAAACGAGCGTGGACATTTCTCCAACACTGTCACGATTTTTTCATTTAGCTTTCCATTGCAATCCTCTGGACCTTTCTAGCTCCCTTCTCTCTGCATTAAGCTTTCAAGCATTTTTCCTGTCTCATTTTTTAACGGTAATTAAAGCGGTGCAGCTCCAGTTTAGAATTCCATAATTAAAAATACTTTACTGTTTACGCTTCGCCTTGATTTTTAGTTTTACACATCGATTAATGCACTAAACGTTACCACTGTGCAGCTATAATTGAAATGATTTACTCGAGGTAACGAAAAGTGAAAAGTCAAACATGTTTGACATGGTATCGCGATCTCAATTCTCATGAATTAATGTTTCTGTTTAAACGAAATAAGTAAAAGAAATAGATCGAAAGCGCTTCGTTGAATTAAAGCGCAGAATTAAAGAAAGTTGCGTTTCTACAGAGATTTTATCGGTATAAAAATTCAGGGTCACGTGAAAAGGGTCACAAAATTAATGGTACTGATACTAGAAATTATTATACAGGAAGAAAGAGAGAGAGAGAGAGGGCGATGACTGGAAAATATTCAGGACAAAGATAAGGGACGCGTTATAAATTTCCGTAGATAAAGATCGCTCACCCACAACGGACATCGTGAGGCATGGGCAGCGTGGATCCGCGATCCAGGAGGATCTTAATAATCTCGTAATTGTCCCTATGAGCGGACAAAATTAGGGGCGTGATGTCGGGCGTGAAGGTGGCTGTGTCTGGCGGCACGGCTTCCCAACTCTGAAAGGGGCAAGTGTAATTTCCTTTTACTAAAATTGCCGGCGATACGTTGCCCCTGAAATAATTTCCTATCCCGGCAATCCCGGGCAAACCGCGCGCAGGATTTTCTCCCTCAGAGACGGCCGAATAATTGTTAGACGGCCTATTAAAATACGATGCGGCACGGTCTAGTTGTCGGTGCCAAATGAATTGGCACGTGAAGCGGAACGCTACCATTCGGGCCCGACCCGGCACGCTCTCCCGGCACAAAGGATTAAAATTTATCCGTTGCGCCGTTCGACGGGACGACACTCGATAATTATTTCGAATCGAAACACCGTCCGAGCTTCTACAACGATGGTCATTGACTCCACGTGAAACTAATCCACCTTTTGCTCCAATTCATTGCCGAGATAAATTATTCGCTTTGCCGCTTTCACGGTGCCAATTTTCACGGCGGATTTTAACGAACGAACTGCTCATGTTCGTGCAAACAAAAAATTTTAGAACCAACAGCGACAAATAATCTACTGTTGCTATCGGGTTGCTTACAGATTTTCGTTTTTGTCTGAACGTTGATATCGAAAGGATTTTAGCGAGCAAAATGCCGATGTTTGTGCAAACTTGAAATGACGGAAACAATGTGGAGTAATATATAATCAACTTTTGCTATCGAGTTGTTTCCAAATTTTCTTTTTCATCTGATCATTGGTCTTGAAAGGATTTTAACGAGCAAATTGCTGGTGTTTGTGCAAACAAGAAATATTAGAAACAATGTGGAGTAATATATAATCTACTTTTGCTATCGAGTTGTTTCCAAATTTTCTTTTTCATCTGAACATTGGTATTGAAAGGATTTTAGCGAGAAAATTGCTGATGTTTGTGCAAACAAGAAGTATTAGAAACAATGTGGAGTAATATATAATCTACTTTTGCTATCGAGTTGTTTCCAAATTTTCTTTTTCATCTGAACATTGGTATTGAAAGGATTTTAGCGAGAAAATTGCTGATGTTTGTGCAAACAAGAAGTATTAGAAACAATGTGGAGTAATATATAATCTACTTTTGCTATCGAGTTGTTTCCAAATTTTCTTTTTTATCTGAACATTGACATTGAAAAGATTTTAGCGAGCAAATTGCTGATGTTTGTGCAAACTTGAAATGACAGAATCAATGTGGAGTGATAAATAATTTACTGTTACCATCAGGTTGTTCCCAAATTTTCTTTTGTATCTGATCATTGATATCGAGACTATATCAGCTGGCAAACGGCTCATGTTTGAGCAAACTTGAAATATCAGAAGCAATGTGCCATGGTAAATAACTGAACGATCGAAAAATGACCACAAATACTAAATTAAGGATTTCGTCTGTTGGTCAAGTAACGACCGACAAACCGTAGGCAGTGCGCTATTAACATGAAAGTGGGACACGAATATCGGAAAAAAGGATGACGGACGCAGGCGAACGAAATGTTTCGCGTGCAAAGGGTCCCCAGAGCGTTCCAAATCACAAGACAACACGGGGAAAGCGGGAACGTCGTTAACGAGAAGCTTTATTTTTCGCGGACCGAACGCAACAAACATCTCGTCGGACCGGGGGTCGGTCCAACAATTATTCCCGAAGTTTCACGTAAGCTGATTCTCCTGCGAAAGCCGATTAAATTAAACCCATCGGATTCCCCGTCGCTTTGCGCCTTCGTTCTTTACTTTTTTTATTCCGTTCCCCGCGTTCACTCTGAATGCCAAAGCTCGGACACGCTGCCGAGCTTTGCCGAAGATGAAACCGGCTCGCCATCCCGGGTTCGGTCCGCTTTTCTCGAATGCCTCCAACTTTTTTTCCCCGGTTCCCCCGATTAAGAAGTTACACTCGGCCAGAAGGAGACCCAACTTCTCGAATTTTTTTTGTTTAAAATGTAGCCAACCGTTTACGATCTAACTTCTCGCGTTTCGACGAATCTGCCTTCGAGAAAGTTCTTCAATTTCTTTGGTATCAAATGTGTAGAATTGTCGGACGTACGGTGATTTTACAAGAGATCCTTTTTTTCGGACGAATTCAGCAGCGAATTTTGCTGATGGTACACGGTTTGTTCGAATTTTCGTGTTTGAGAAAATGTGCTATCAACTGTGTCTATTAAAAATCGTAAATTTTGGACCAGCTTCTTGTAGTAGTGTTTTAGATACTTTCGTCGTTGATTTTGCAAACGCAACTTTTAGCACAAGAATTTAATGCACAGGAAACATTTTTGGGATGCTAGGAGAAAAATTTTACGAAAATAAATATCAACCTGTAACTAGATCTATGATCTTCCCGACATTTGTTATGTTGAAGGAAAAATCCCTCGGAAAATTATGAACGGAATATCAAATTATGGATACACGTGCACAGGAGTTAAATGTTGAACATAAGTTATTCATGTGAACCAGCCATTCTATTCTGTATTGCAAATTGCGTGTAGCGACACTTGTCGTTATTATTATGTATTCTTAATTACGTGTTCCTCTTATTATTTGCACCACGCAATATACACCACGTATTTTCGAATCAAATTACTGCATATATTATATTCTGCAATCTAAAGGGCACTTTGCCCGCTTAATTAATAAGCAATAAATTAATTAAAAGTTACAACACCGTGCTATTGCCGAAATTCGTCTGCGATAATCACGTGCAATCCTGCCCAAATGACTAATTTAATTCATTATACGTCAAGAATTAACAAAATTCGCTGTACGTGATTGAAGCAAGTCTTTAAAAATTGCACAATTCTTTCAATAGAACAGTTCTAAGTAAAATCAAGATCTCTTCAAAGTTCTCTGTCAATTCACACGTCGAACAAAAAGCTTGAGAACCATCCTCATCTTCAAGAATTAATACCAACCCTTCCCAGCAATTTTACGAGGCGATAAAAATTGTGTAACTGTATATCCGACGTTCTTCCAAAGTTTCATAATTTTCTAATTATCCGATCAGGACGGGAGTTTCGATGAGCGAAAAGTGATTGGAGCGGAGGCAATCGTGGCGCGATTACGAGACACGTCCGTCGGTAAATCGAGGCGTCAATGAAGGCGAATAATAGATGCCGAAGAGTCGCGAATGGTAGCGGTTCCAGAGCAGAACAAGAGGAATCGCGGCAGACAGCCGTGGTATTTGCGAATGCGACTAACGTGACGCTCCCCGTTCCTGTGAAGGGTCTCCTCGTGCTCCAGGAGGACTTCCACCGCCTCGACGAACTGCTCGGAGATGGCGTGGAGAAGCGCGTCCTTGGTGTCGACCTTGTGCTCCAGCAGGAGCTCCAGCATCTCCAGGTTTTCGTTATCGATCGCCATCAGAAGCGCCGACCGTCCCAGAGGATCCACGCAATTGATGTTCATCTCGGTCTCCAGCGCGCCCTGCAGCATCCTGAAACAACCGGGACACGGTCACTGATCATCGTCGTTTCGTTAGCGGCCAGCTAATCGGTCCTCGAAGGCCTGGCACGCTCTAAACGCTTCGGCCTAACTAGCAACTATAACCGCTTTGCGAAATGAGATCGATTCATCTTCTGCGATTATGGTTGCATCGAATATTTCCAGTCCAATTTTCTTTCATATTTTATTGCTGTCGGACGCTGCAATTTATGGACACATACGCACACTGTAACATACACTGACAGTGTGTAAGACAGAATCAAGTGACACAGAATCGAAGTGAATTAGAGGAGGTAAATTAGGCTAGTAGGTCAATTAAACGTGGAACTGGAGTAAATTCCAGTAAGCCTTTTACGCTTTGCGTTAGTAAATCTAACGCATAACATTCAACAGAAATTAATTAATAGGTTTATACGAGGTTAATCGCCTATCTCAATATATTGACATAACTCTAGATTTATTATATTTTTATACTAGATAATTCTGGCAATAACGCAATTACTTGTGTAATACATTGTTACAGAATGGTATGTGATATGAGAATATAATTTATTTTTGGCTTATGGAACAGTCGTGATACAGCGTCCTATTTTCTAATAAATAACAATATATTTATCTGTTCGTTTCTAGTGTAGGTAATCAATATGTAAATTGATTAAATTGATATCGATTTCGCTATTGAAAAAATTACTGTTGTTCGTAACGTCAGAATATAATAATTCTATAAAAAAATATTAAAAAGAAAAAGCGGATGCTTAGAACCGATGAAAAACGTATACTACTTTGTTCATTGTATCAATTTGTATTTATTTCCTAGTAGAAACCGCAAGAATGGATTCACGAAGCAATGATTAGATAGCGGATGTTTGTGGGACCGTCACAGGCAGGCTTATCGAAATTGGAATCGAGGAAAAACGTTTTCCTCCTATTACGGATTCTATCAGCCACCAAACAAGATAAAAATCCCATTAAACTTCATAAAACGCTTCATTCTATCGCGTTTTACAGGATCCGTCAGCGATACACTCTTCAAATAAACTAGCGTCGATAATGTCCGTGATCGCCGCGTATTTTTACCGGTTTTCTGTATACACGGTATTCAGGATGCCGAGAAGCATGCAACATTCTGAAAGACGAGCATATGGTGTTATATGGACTGCTCGGTAATTAGTAGTGGAACCAGGGGAGATGCGATTCCGCGAACAAACCTAAATGGAAATGTAGGACACTCTATTACTGGCACAGTTAGTGTGCCCGACTAACGCCGACTAATTCGACAGCTGGAAATTGTACGCGTAACAGCGCCGCGCTACTTTTCTATCAAGATTAAATCCATTCGAACTATCGGTTCGCAAATCGATAAAGGGAATTGCTTGTGATACCCGATGCAAGTAGAAATGACCAGCAACGGTCAGACATGGGAGCCAAATGCTGTCAACGGGCTGCCATGAAGCAGTTGAAAAATGGTGAGAAAAATAGTGAAGTTGATATTTCTTGGGCCCGGATTTTTATCGATTTTTTATTATCCAAGCTCGCACGAGCTATAAATTAATGGATGAACGGATCTAAAAATTTCAACTAATGTTCGTGTAACATTTGACGTAAGCTGTATTTTCTAAATAAACTAATCTGGCTTAAAGCATTAATAAATAAATAAATGAGTAAATAAGTGCAAAATTTTTCATAATTTTTCTTCTCTGATTGCATCGAGAATTATTTTTAGAACATCTTAACACTTTATTTACCGAAAGTTTATTATTAGGATTGTCAATGTTTGAGCTGCATGTAAAAGAAGCTCGATAATTGTCTTTTGAGCGATAATTTCCGAAACAGTTATCTCTGAGAGATTTGAATACGTCGAAAAAGAAAAAAAAGTGTACTAATAGTTGAGTTCCTTCGCGATCGTTAAAAATTTTGTCGTGCAAAAATTTTGAATAGACAAAATAATTTTCTACCAATAATTTCTTATCGCGCTAATTGCAAACGCCTGTCGTTCACGGTCTCTCTGAGCTTCTACGAAGACAAAAAATCGTAAAAAAAAATGGAGATTTATTTTCGCGAGGGAAATTCGGGCCAGCCGAAGGCTTCCAATCTCGAAGAATACAGGTCTCGTCCGGTAATCTGCGAGCTTATTGGTTCGCGATCGGTCTGCTCGGATTTTTCCATGCCCTTTCAACACTGGTCCCGGCATTATGGTCGAGGCCGGCGCGGCGAATCGGCTTGGCAAACGTATTTCGGAGCCCGAGAACCCTCGCCAAATGAGAATTCCACGGCCGCCTGAAACTTTCTCGTGCATCGCAATCGGTATTAATTGCGTCAGGAGCACTCGGCGCGCTCCGGCAAGAATTCCTGGAAGTTTCGGGACCGCTCGGATCGCTCGTTGGATAATTAGATCCTTTGTCGACGCGCTACTGGGACATCCGCCGCGCCTTTGACCTTCTCCCGAGGGATTTCTCGTCCTCTTTAACTCGCGAGACCTACATACATCCCGCCGATATATCCGCTTCTTCTCTCTCTCTCTCTCTCTCTATTTCTCTCTTGTATTCTCTCTCTCTCGCTCTCTCACTCTCACGTGCTCTCTCCCCGCATTCGTTTGCATAGAAACAACGATACCGCGCGCGCCCGCTTCCCGCCCTTTGTCCTCGGGCACCGGCAATGAAAGCAATGAAAACGGTACTCTAATTTTCGGTACTTTTCGCCGGATGGAAATTTACACTCTACGGAACCCGCGGTACAGTAAAAGCCCATTTACGAGGACCTGTAACACGGAACGCCTCGGATAAGCGACATACTTCGCCGACAGTTTATCATCTCGCGCTGACTTTCCCCTGTTTCCTGCGACGACGTGACGTCGTAAATTCAATCGGATGAGGGTTAATGCGCCTCTGTCTTGATGTCCGACTTCGAATTTATGGGAAAACTGCGAAATTCCCGGGGGCATGGTCTTCTGGATATTTTTAAAATAACGACTCGAAAGTCGCTGGAAAATGATTGTACTCTTGGCGCAAAGAATTGTGGACCGCTCTATCACTCAAGACCACTGTTAAAAGTGTCTCACCACTCTGCGATAAATTAATCATAAATGTCTACATGGTTGAGTATAGTATTCGTGCTATTTTTATATGTGCTCATTGTTTTTCTTTTGGTATTAGGAGATACGATTGTTCGAGCCTTGCGGCTCGTTTTTATAGCTCTCAAATCGTTCATTTTCATGCGCCATCTGAGCGCGAATTAGGGAGAAATTATTGTAGTCTTCATTTTGGTTGCAATGCTGTACTCGAATTTCTTGGAAATCGAAGATGCGTGGTCTCTATTTATTTGAATATATATATTATATTATATATTATATAATATATTATATTATTATTATATTATATATTATATATACATTATATAACATTATATATATTATATATATATATATTATTTATTTGAATATTCTTGCAGATTAAAAATCTGTAATCCTCATTTGTGCATCGAGCTCGTTGCTTAAATCTTCTTCGAAATTTGAAATATGCAGTCTTCATTGCGCTTCGACCTCGTTACTCAAACCTTTTCCGAAAGTAATTTTACATTTTGCTTGGAACTTTCCACTTCAATGTCCTTGGAACTTTGAAATGATCATCACTGTGCAAGGAACTCATTACCTGGATCTTGTATACCGATGATGCTAAAGCAGTCACGGTCCACCGAGAATATGTCACTGCAAAGTGTCATGCTTAATTGTACACGCAGAACAAAAAAAATCGATTATTCGAGAACGGAGGACACATATCACGAAAATGTGCGAATGGAACGATCTTCGGACGGAAGGTTGGCCGAAGATGTAGAACGAAGACTGTCGCATTACACAGAGCTTGGATTCCGAGGAAACGCGTGCTTGCAGAGGTGGAAGGGTTGGGTTAAAAGGTTTTAGCTGTACCAGCTAGACAAAGAAATATGTTGCTTCATATCCGTTTTTGAGGGACCCGTTTTTGTGACGCGTCACGTCCGCAGTTTTCGGCGGGCACGTGCTCGTCCGCAAATGACGCTAACGAGGGAGGCGGTCGACGCGACGGGTGCACGCGCGTCCCGTTTTTGAACGATTAAGTCCTTGCCGTACCATTTTCTTTACAATTACAATGATTAGAAGTTTTTCGTTCGCAATAATATCTGAGAAGAAAAAGAAACTTCATCTTTATCGTGTGTTTACGTGAACTTGAATGTTATTCGCATTTGCAACGACTTTTATTATAATGTTTGTCTGGAGTACCAAATTTATTTAATTAAACATTTAAATATCTTATATTAAATATTCAAATATTTCGTATTAAATATTTACGATCTCATAAATCGTAAATCAAGAAATTTGAAACGTAAAGCTAGTGTTAATTGTTTGCCTATTTGCAACAATGAATTATTATCCTATTTGTAGAGACTGGTCATCCTTGCATAAAAAATCGTGTCTGTGTATCGTCACGTTGCGACAGTAGTTGTTGTTTTCATTGTTTATGAGTGATGCTCGGTTTTGTCGAAGTCGCAGACTAATAAAGAATCATTACATTTTACCTAAATAATTATTATTAGAACTATTATTACTATTACCATTATTATTATTATTATTAACAGCTAAAATTTGTTCTTAGTTTAAACGAGCTCTAGGACATGCAGGAACGCAATTCCGAGTTCCCGGTGTTTGTTCCTACGACTCTCGACGAACTAGATAAATCAAGATCGCGTTCCGCGCCACGTAAAGTTCATTTTGCCACGGGCATAAACCCCCTATTTTACGAGTATTCTTTGAGCAGAAATGCGCCTTAAAATTTCTTCGATTTGATGGTACTTTTATGGTTATTGGGTTGGAAAACTCACCGTCTGACAGAGGCCACGTCACCGCGTTCCACCGCGAGAAGATACTTCTTCTCATGGCAGGACAGGCTGGCCATCTCCTGGTGCGGCCTCACAACGTTCTCCTCCTCGTTCATCCCGTGGATGCTGTGCCTCTGAAACCATAATAATTCCTCGTTAAACGTTGCTTCAATCTGGCAGCTCTATTGCCTTTACGTCGATCAATATATTGCTCTAATCTCCAGAAAATTATTCCTGGAGGCATCAAACCGGAATAACTGTAGAAAACGTTTTAAATAGAGTCTGACAGACAAGAACGTTATTTATGTTGGGATATTGTTTATTGATGTGCAATCTACTCGTTAAATGTGCACTTTGAATTTACCGTAGAATTTCGATTATACAAATTAATTGTAAAAACGTGAACGTCCAGATAACAGAACATTTGGTATTCATTTATCTTCATAATTATTTAGAAAAAGGTTCTGCTCTCCGATTTCGATAAATTTGAATTTCTTGTACAGTTCGATATTTCGAACAATTTGTTTCTTTGTAAAAATTGTCCTGGACACCTAACCGAGACCTAACCAAACCTAACCTATACTACAACGTTCAAGGTATTCTGAAAATCGTTTTGGAGAACGAAGGCAGAAGGATATTGTTCACAAAGGAGAAAGTTGTCCAAATTGTCAAGCTGTCTAACACAATTAAATTTCGTCAAAATGTAAAGGGTTGTAAACAATTACCGAACATTTGTTTAGATAACATACCAGTCTAAATTCTTACTGATCTCTACGTCAGGGTGTCGCACTGTTTTTAAAATAAAAAAGGTTGTTCTAGATTGAGCCATTTCCATGTGAAACATGATTCGTTCACAGCGAGTTCAGACATCGGAGACTCGAACATTCGAGGTTCGTATTTCTGCTAGATTGGAAAGAAGCACCAGTTCACTATTGTCAATATTTCATATTTAACGTGAATATACCTATAAAATGGATTACGTATGGAGAGGAGAGTACCATTTCGATTTAATGAAAGAACGTGAATGTACGAAATAGAAAGAAAAAGAGATCTCGAATCTTCGGATTGCAGAAAGTCTATTGAGGAAAGTTTGTTAACCTCCAGGACCAACTCTACTCCTCCAAGTCGTCTTTCACTATCTACACAGCTATTTTCAAACATCCTAGCCCCATTGATCCGGCTTCAGTCGCTCGATAGGTACATCGCCGAACCCTAAGGCCATCTCGGATCACCTCTGCTCCTTATTTGACTTATCATCGCACTTCTGCCCTCCTCGACCCTTTTTCATGGGCACTATGATCACCGAGGAGGTTCAAGTACCTCGAGACCTCCACGATGTCGTAGATCCTGGAGATCCTCGAGACGACACGATAGCGAGTCATTGATTTAAAAAAGGATTTAAATGACACTGCGGATGCTTTAAGATGATGTAGACGGACTTTGGAGCATGGCTGGGTCAATTTTATTTCAGACCAAAATAAGAAATACCTATTTCACATAATTCATTATATTTATAATAATTTAGAATTGTTTCGTCATTTTTTTGTTTCAAATATCACGAGAAAATAACGATCCTCATCGCAACGAAAAGATTTTACTTCAGGAAATCGAATCGAAATCTTTTCTCAACAAATTTATTTTTATTGTATTTTATTCTGTTCTATTTGATTTGATTTTCTTGTTTTACTTTATCTATTTGATTTCATTTTAAAATTATATCGTGTTCGGTCTTATTTTAATCAGAAAAAGCTTGAAATTGCATCGGCAAATCCGAAAAAGCTAAAGTTGAACTCCGAATCTCGGTCTAAGGCACTTCAATCTCGAGGTCATCGGTCCTGCCTGGCATCATGCTCGCACGTCTAATGTGAATATTCTCAATCGAGCACGCTGCCAGCACGACCCGAGCCCAGCACGTCGATGTGTATCGACCCTAAAGGAGTCGAGGGTCAGAAGATAGGTTTATAATGACTCGGCCCGTACTCGGAGGCAGTCTCTCGAAGGAAATAAAGGGGAGTAATTGACTTCGGGGGGGTCCCGGCTAGCCTCCGGAGACCGTTCAAAGGGTCTGAAGGACATTGGACAGTTATAGAACGCTGTGTGCCATCGATAGTGGCTATTGAATGTGACCAGGTGGTCTCCGAAGGACGCGGAGTATAGCTGTCGAGTTCGACAACTGAATTAATGCGAGGACATTGTCGCGTCGTAGCAGCGTCTTGTCGGGTTCCGACGGAATTTTCGATTTCTCAAAACAATCCCTTTGTTGCGGACGGGTATCGTTCGGGGATGAAACTTCGGTGAAAGATGGCCGGAATTAGGATGATAAATGTGCCGCGGCGATCCCTTTCATCAGCAGCGGCGAAAGCTCCTGTAACGGTCAGGAAAAAGGGGATGAAGGGGGTGGTCGAGGCTCAGCGTCACTCCGGTGTCGAAATTCTGCATGATCTTCGATCACGATGAGAGGGTGGAAAGCTTGGATTAGCAAGGATTCGTGACATGTTGCAGAAAGTTCGATCTTTTTTGCGAAAATAATGTTGAAAGTTCATTTCGGCTCTTCGTGTTTCGTTCGTACGTTATTAATTTGTGGTATTTATAAAAAATTGTATTTACCAATTTTGTATCTATATTTCTATTTACACGATAGTTCTCCCTTTGATACGTATAAATAACAATAAAGATACTATGTAATATGAAAAGTAGGTATTTCTTTTTGTATGTTTTTTTCATTTTAGTTGGACTGAAGGGGTTAATGATTTAAATATCCTCTGAAACGATTCAACAGGATCGTTGGTGACTGAATTTTATAAGTTCATAAAAATAAGATGTAACTAAATACAAACTTTTATCGATGTGTTTCCTTATATGACAAGAAAGTTTAATGAAATTCTTCTTTTAATGGAATCAATTTATTACGAATAATTGTCTAACATCATTTAAGAAATTCAATTTTGCTTATCAATGTGCTCGCAGTTAAGCATAGAAAATATTTGCACAACCGTCTATTGTAAACAATAATATCTTCAACATCGATTTCAAAGAAGAAGAAGAAAGTAAAATATAACAGAAGAAGAGCCTGCAATCAATTCCATGTTCGCCATTATTTCAACTTGCGATTGCAGACTGTTATCGAAGTGAAGGCATCGGTGTCAACAGAAACGTGTTAATACAGGGGTTAAGGGATCAAATCGAGCAGCACCGCAGCCGATAATTTTTCCATCTCGAGACCAGAGGGAAGGGAGAGCCTACCGAAGCTATTTCTACAGTTCGCCGATTGATCACAATTTCCCTCGATGGCATTCCATCGGTCTGCGAAAAACGAAGAAGCGATCGACTCGACGGGAAGCGGTCTGTGAAGATCGATCGATCGCTAGCTCGCTCGCTCGCGGTTCCTTTCAGCGAGAAGCCAATAACAAGCTTTAACGGCCCTGTTCTCGGAATCGCCTATCGTTCTCGCTCCCATCGGCGTTATTCAAATAACTTTAAGGCAATTACGGCCGGCCGATAAACAACGCGGCCTATTTCGACGCGCGGGAATTCGAGCAACGCGCGGCTTAGATCGGCGTTAAGCTTAGATCGAACGGTTATGGTCGATCTCGGTGGACACTCGACAAAATTGATCGACGATGAAACGAGAACTGCAACCTTGCGCCGATTGCCGGCTCGGACTTCGCGAGATCAAATTCGAATTTAATCGCCCCGTATTTTTCGAAGTTCGCAAATTGTCTCGGAGTAATTTCGAAATGAAAAGTCCACGGCGGAGTTCCGACGATTGCTACGTAGCTTTTTTTTTATCCAATTAGCTATCTTGCATCTGAAGATCCTCCATTACACGGTATTTAAATGAGAACATCGGATCTGAAGAGCTGTTCGTACGATCGTTTCTGGTTTAATGGAAGACGTCAAAAATGTCGAATATCGATTTATCGTTCGAAGTATGATTACTTAAAGACTTATTCTTCACACTGGGCTGAATTGCTACATACGCAGGTCATGCGTCATCCTCTGGTCAGCTACCTAGCGTCTTAAAAGATCGTCCTGTAGCCAATATCCCAGTGGTAAGCTCGTTCGAAAGCAGCGTCAAAAAATTCGAGCATTAATTCATCGCTCAAAGTATGATTGTTTAGGTACTTCACGGTGCCCCAAAAATGCTGCATACACAAGTGATGATACATCACCTCCAATAGTCGTAAAAAGTATGATTGTTTGAAAAATGAATCTTGACGCTGCCCTAAAATCGTGTGAGCACAATTCATACATCATCCTTCTCTCAGCTATCCAGCACCCCAGAGATCCACCTGTACCTGCTATCCGATTTGTTAACTTCGGTCCCGAAGATCTACGACCACATCTTAACTAATTAACGAGATTGAAAACTTCGAATATCGATTCATCGTTCAAACTACGATTGCTCGGGCGCGCTTAATCTCGGTCGCTGCTCGGAAACGCTGCACGCACAAGTCATACATCATCGCGAAGTCGGCCATCAAACTTGCCGAGATCCTCGGAAGCCAATATCCTCGCGATAAGATCGGATCTAAGAGAAGTATCGTGTCGCGCGGTGGCTAATTGGTAGGGCCAACAACCGAACGCGTTCTGGAAGCGGCCATCGGGCTCCGTTGGCGAACCAAGTAGATCGTATTTGTACATCGTATTTGCACTGGCAACCAGAGTCGGGAGCAAGTCAAACGGCGAATTACCAGCGAACCGTGGGCTCGTGGTCTCGCGACTCGAACAGGATAATTGAATAGACGCCGGCAGCATCGCGCAAAGCCGTCCGCGCGGATATCTCTTGTTCGAGGATGCCCGGCACGGAAGGGAACGCCTATATCCCTTTAGCCGGGATAAGCACGCGGCGGCATAAAGGTTAATACCGCCTTTGAATACCGGACTTCTCATTGTTTCCCTTTACGCCCGATCTTTACGTGTTGCGCTTCTACGGCCACCGCGTTCCGACGGCTATCTCTGTCTCTTCTTTTCTTTCTTTTTCCCCTCCGGCGGCCCTGATAGCAAGCGTAACGAGAACTTCGCAACGACCGCTTTCCACGTCGAACAATGGACGGCTATCCGAATCGTTAATTGCTCGCCTCGTTTTCCCTCCCACGGTCGTCCCAATTTCAGCCGAGGCTTCGATCCCGCT